GGACTTGAAAAAGCTCTCTAATCCCTACTATGGCATTTCTAGACCAGCCCCACTGGGTTTTACCTGATATTTTTCTTTATCAAATTCCACATGCTCACTCCTTTATGGAAAATGTTTCCAAGATTTATCCCATCCTTTTTGTTCCATCCCAGCTCATTTCCCACTCTTTATCTGCTCTCAGACCCCCTTTCTTTCACCCCAAATACGTGAGGGCCGATCTGAGAAACCTCAGAGCCCTCACAAAGAGCCTGCATAATAAAAAAACTGACAGGAAAAATATCAGTCATGTTTTGCCACGGTGAGAAACACGAGCAGGCACTTTGAGCCTTAAAAAAGCAATAATTGATTTTTCAATCAGCTTGGCATTTAATGTGCTGGGAAGTGGAGTAAACACGACGGAGCCATTTAGGCCCGGACATGTTTTCACCTCGTTATGGGCGAGCAGGCCTTGACAGGGACTTCCATAAATGCAGCAGAAAAGTGGAATTTCTCCCTCTCTCTCCCTCCTGGCTCTTCACTTATGGGTTTTAGGAAGGTCCTGGTGGCATCCAAAGCTCTGTTTGTGGTGTTTGTCCCCTGTGGAATGGCAGAACCACCACAACCTCATATCACACATGAGCCTCACGGTCACTTCCCACCAAAATACCCCACAAGGATTCTGTGCTGTCTCAATCCCCCTGTCTGTCACATCTCCTTTATTTTATTCCATTCCTGCTTCCCATTTGCTGTTTTGGAAATCTGTGTGCTCCAAATTGTGAAAAACGCCAATCACTTGTTTTTAAAATTTTAAATGTTTAATAGTAATAAAATGGTTATTAAAAATAGTAATACAATTAGAATTAATTAATATTAATTCTATTCTATATAATAATTATTAATATTAATTCATAATAATTTGGACAGTTTGAATTAGGACAATATGAGACAATAAATACAAAGAGTTACAGATGTCCAGGTACCTTTTCTGGGCAGCATGAGCCTGAAAAAGGACACAGTTAACAAACAATTAACCCTTAAAAAAATAACCTGTTGCATATTCATACACCTCATACATGATGCATAAATTCCATTCAAATACAGGATTCTGTCTGGGCAGTGTCAGCTCCTTCCTCTGAATCCTAACAGCACCTTTGAGGTGGGAAGAAGTTCATTTCTTTTGATAAGAGGGAAATAAATTCTTTTTTTCTGAAAGATTTAGGTGTCCTGTGGCTGCTATCTTGCTGCAAGTCCTTTCTCTAAAAAAAGTATCCTACATAGCATCGTTTCTATTTTAATATTTTGTTATAACCTAAAACTATATTTAACACACTACTTTAGAGAATTAATCCAGCATTACTTCCTAACACAACACATATAATATTCATTTGAATATTTGCGAAAAGCCAATCATAAAATACACATTTTTCCACAAGAGGCTCACCCTTGGTGGTTTTCCTGCAGCTCCGTGTGGCGGGATCCTGACGGGCCCGGCTGGGGTGATCCTGTCCCCGCAGTACCCGGAGCCGTATCCCCCGGGGAAGGAGTGTGACTGGAAGCTGACAGTGTCCCCTGACTATGTCATTGCCCTGGTGTTCAGCGTGTGAGTACACAGGGGTTTGGTGCCATGGCCTTGGGGAGGGGACGCGTGGTTTGGTGCTATG